TGCCATTTGGGATCTTCTGTGGCAAGTGTACACCAAGTAAATATTAAAGCACAGAAAGCTTGTTATGGTGAGGAAACGCACAGTTTTGCGGTGACTGGAGACAGAGCTCTCTCGATACAGGAGGTAATCGATCCGGCGGCCCGTCCAGGGCTGATCAGGCTCAGGATAGACCAGAGGAACACCTTCAACGGCCACCGGAGGAGAAATATAGTCCTTACGCACTTCTTCAGTCTCCAGAGTCCTGCAGAGAAGATCAAACATCCATCAGATCACAAAACACCAAAACCACATAAAAATATATCACAAATCTCTCACCGCTGCAGGTTGTCTGGTGTCCTCATGTTCTCAATGTAGAGCGTTGGCTGCTCCAACAGGGTTCCTACAAACAAAAACAACAAAGTTTATGGTGGTTAAGTATTTATATTTGGAATTTTACAAAATAAAATAATTTTTAATTGTAATTACACTTTAATAATTTATGTAAACAATTTACAATTACATACAATAAATAGTGAAAAAACAACAACAACATCCTAATACCCAAACTAAATTTTTATATTTAAAAAAAATAAAATAAATAAAATAAAACTACATTAAGTTAAAAAAAAAAAAAACTACAACATCCTGGCAGTAATAGCCAATCTAAATTTTAAAATGTAAAAATATAACAAACAAAATTAAAAATAACATCCTAATAGTAATACCCAACCAGCAGTATCATTTTAGTATTATTGAAATACTACTGTTTTTATTAATATTTTGAATCAGTTACATTTACATTTTCTGTTATTTTAATTTTAGTTAAAATGTTGTTGTGTGTTTTTGTCATTTTTAGTATTTTTTTATTAAATACGTCTTTATTATTAATATTATTATAATTATGTCTTTTTATTATTTTTTATTTCAGTTTTAGTTATTTTAGTATATCAAGAAATGTTGTGAAATGGCTGAAATAAAATGCTTATATACAGTGGGTACGGAAAGTATTCAGACCCCCTTAAATTTTTCACTCTTTGTTATATTGCAGCCATTTGCTAAAATCATTTAAGTTAATTTTTTTTCCTCATTAATGTACACACAGCACCCCATATTGACAGAAAAACACAGAATTGTTGACATCTTTGCAGATTTATTAAAAAAGAAAAACTGAAAAATGCTCAGTATTTAGTAGAAGCACCCTTTTGATCTAACACAGCCATGAGTCTTTTTGGGAAAGATGCAACAAGTCTTTCACACCTGGATTTGGGGATCCTCCGCCATTCCTCCTTGCAGATCCTCTCCAGTTCTATCAGGTTGGATGGTAAACGTTGGTGGACAGCCATTTTTAGGTCTCTCCAGAGATGCTCAATTGAGTTTAAGTCTCAAACCTAAATTGTAAAAAAAAAAATAATAATAATTAATAATAATATTATTATATATAATAATAATAAAAACAACAACATCCTAACAGCCATATCTAACCAACCAAAATAAAAAAATAAATAATAATAAAAGAAAAACACCACCATAAGTTTTTATTCAACCATGCAGCTGAGGAACAGAAACGTTCCACTCAAAAACATAGATTTTCTTTCCACAAACTGTGCATGAATGCGAATGAACAGTAATTGAGAGTGTTACCGATGACCCAGGGCTTCTCTCTCCCGGCTCCGGCTCTGCAGGGGTCGGTATAGTCCTCAAACACACTGTGGCTTTGCTCCAGCCTGTCGTCTGAAAACACAGACACACGAACATCCTCCGTTCATGAGGCCTGTTGCTCCTCAACAACGTCTGCATAAACACAGCTCTGTAATTAAGACGTGCAGTGTGTGTGTGTGTGGAGTTATTCAGAACGCACCAGGAGAGCAGTTGTCAAAGTTAAAGTCTCCACAGAGCACATCAAACATCACCATCTCATCTTCTCGTCTGGTCACTTCCTGGAACTCATTGATCCATTTGGTCAACATGTTCAGCTGCTCGAAGCGAATCGCTCCGTCCCCTGAGCAGCAAACACGTGCATGCATGCATAAATAAATAAATGCAATTATATTATTTGCGCAATTGTAATTTGTACATGATTCAAACTGTAAATGGTCACAAAACAATAAAACTCAAGTATCCGAAAATCATTTCTTCTTGAGGACTGAGATTATAGAGAATTTAATTGGATTGGATTAGGTTGCATTACACATTGCATTATCTAAAAATTAATATTCTGTTATTATTTATTCATCCTCATGTTGTTCCAAACCTGTATTTGAGATCTGAGATCTTTGCCACAAGTTATTTTATTTTATTTAACGCTATCATATGACTTCAGAAGAGTCGTCATATAAAGTACAAGTCATATGGATTATTGTTGTGATGCTGTTATGGCACTTTAATGGTGTTTTGTCCTTTTTGTTTTTAGACATGGTCACTATGAGCTGTTGTTGCATGACAGGTTTGTGAGTTGATGATAAAATAATTATTAATTAAATAAACCCTAAAAAATATTATAAATAATTTAAAAATAGAAAACAATTTTTTTTTAAATATGTAAAAATTACATATTTAATTTGTTTACCTGTATGCCTGACATCGGAGAACCTCAAACATGAAAATTAGAAATGAGATTTTCCCATCTAATATTTATATTTTAATTGTTTCAGCTTTATTTCAATTAACAGAACGTTCTAAAAGTTTTAGTTCATGATAATAACCCTGTACGGGATAAATAACAGGTTTAGAATGACATGAAGGTGAATCAACAAACAGAATTTTAACTCTCCAGATAAACTATTTCTGTAAATGCATCACAACACTTGCCTTCAGGAGCGTGCAGGTGAGTGCAGTTAATATACCCGACCATTTTCTTTTCACCTTTTTGTAACCCAATTTCCACCTTGTGAGAAAATTAAATTTTTACTTTGTTAGTTTCCATACCTTTATATAAAACGTTCTAGATCAAAAGCTACAGGGGGTAGTTCATCCAAAAATGAAAAATCTGTCATCATTTACTCACCCTCAAGTTGTTCCAAACCTGTTTGAGTTTCTTTCTTCTGCTTAACACAAAAGTAGATATTTTAAAGAACGCTGATATTAAAACAATTCGATGATTCGTTTTTGACGTCACCTCGTACTTCAGCTTCTCATCAAATCTTCTGACCAATCAAATGCTCTCTAGAATTCGAAGCGCCAGTTGTCAAAGTTAAAGTCTCCACAGAGCACATCAAACATCACCATCTCATCTTCTCGTCTGGTCACTTCCTGGAACTCATTGATCCATTTGGTCAACATGTTCAGCTGCTCGAAGCGAATCGCTCCGTCCCCTGAGCAGCAAACACGTGCATGCATGCATAAATAAATAAATGCAATTATATTATTTGCGCAATTGTAATTTGTACATGATTCAAACTGTAAATGGTCACAAAACAATAAAACTCAAGTATCCGAAAATCATTTCTTCTTGAGGACTGAGATTATAGAGAATTTAATTGGATTGGATTAGGTTGCATTACACATTGCATTATCTAAAAATTAATATTCTGTTATTATTTATTCATCCTCATGTTGTTCCAAACCTGTATTTGAGATCTGAGATCTTTGCCACAAGTTATTTTATTTTATTTAACGCTATCATATGACTTCAGAAGAGTCGTCATATAAAGTACAAGTCATATGGATTATTGTTGTGATGCTGTTATGGCACTTTAATGGTGTTTTGTCCTTTTTGTTTTTAGACATGGTCACTATGAGCTGTTGTTGCATGACAGGTTTGTGAGTTGATGATAAAATAATTATTAATTAAATAAACCCTAAAAAATATTATAAATAATTTAAAAATAGAAAACAATTTTTTTTTAAATATGTAAAAATTACATATTTAATTTGTTTACCTGTATGCCTGACATCGGAGAACCTCAAACATGAAAATTAGAAATGAGATTTTCCCATCTAATATTTATATTTTAATTGTTTCAGCTTTATTTCAATTAACAGAACGTTCTAAAAGTTTTAGTTCATGATAATAACCCTGTACGGGATAAATAACAGGTTTAGAATGACATGAAGGTGAATCAACAAACAGAATTTGAACTCTCCGAGTAAACTATTTCTGTAAATGCATCACAACACTTGCCTTCAGGAGCGTGCAGGTGAGTGCAGTTAATATACCCGACCATTTTCTTTTCACCTTTTTGTAACCCAATTTCCACCTTGTGAGAAAATTAAATTTTTACTTTGTTAGTTTCCATACCTTTATATAAAACGTTCTAGATCAAAAGCTACAGGGGGTAGTTCATCCAAAAATGAAAAATCTGTCATCATTTACTCACCCTCAAGTTGTTCCAAACCTGTTTGAGTTTCTTTCTTCTGCTTAACACAAAAGTAGATATTTTAAAGAACGCTGATATTAAAACAATTCGATGATTCGTTTTTGACGTCACCTCGTACTTCAGCTTCTCATCAAATCTTCTGACCAATCAAATGCTCTCTAGAATTCGAAGCGCCCGCCCCCTACACTATAAATAGATGCTGAAGCTGCGGCTGAGATCGGTCACTTGTTCACAGTGTAGTATTTCTTGTACAGTGAATGGCATTTAGTGCACAATGTAGGCAATAGGGAACGATTCAGACAGTGTAAATATGCTTTTGACTGGTGCAAATGAGGTCTGGTTTCACGTTGTGTCACGCGAACCGCGGCAGCGCGCACAGTCTGATCCGAACTTTGGCTCCGGTCCAGAGACCCGATCGCACGGAGCGGATCATATGCGCGAGTCGGCATATATTAAACACTTTTACAACTACACAGCCTCAGCATGATTATGATCACTATTTTGTTTTACTAAGAGTTTCATGTTGAATCTAGGGGGTAATCTATTAGACTGTGGTTGTCAAATGCGGTTTTACCGATCTTAACGGCTCTGACTCGTGCAGATATAAACAAAACGCTATTGGCTAATTTAAAAAGTGGGCGGGGCTGCTCGATATGTCCCGCCCTCTCTTCCTGTTTTGAAATTACGTCACCACATAGAATAACGCTGCGTGTTTCAAGGCACTTCAGGGGACCTTTAAAAATGTGGCAGTCATGTGTGAGACGCCACAAAAGACACGAGACACGAGCGCAATGGTCATACACATCCATCTAGCGTGCTTACGTAGAAAAACAATAGAAAAGTAGTGCATTTGAATGGAAAAACGCATTCTGTGTGAACAGGCCCCTAATTTGACAGCGTCTTAAAAAACGTGGCAGTCATGTGCGGGACACAGCAAAATGGTCATACGCATCTGTCTAGCGTGTTTACTCAGAAAAACAATGGAAAAATAACGCATGGAAAAACGCATTCTTTGTGAACAGCCCCTTAAATGATGACAATTTTCGTTTTTGATGAACTATCCCTTTAAATCGGATGTCGTACCTTTACAGTGAGCAGTCCTTTGGCAGCCAGAGCGTCTTCTCCTCGTCCGTTGGGAAAGCAGCGATACTCAGCCTCCATCACGGGATAGCGACTAGCCAGGAACAAACCACTGTTAAAAAACTTAAAAGACGAGCACGTTCCAGCAGGCTGGCAGGCGTAGACGCCGACGTCGTAGAGCACGTGTCCATAGAGCGGACCGAGAGCTCGCGTGAGTTTCATAGCAGCTCTCTTATCGAAAACCTCCTGGAGACACACGACGTCCACGGAGGACGGGAACAGAGAGGACACTTCCATCGGTACGTCAGCATCTTGTAAGAGCGTCCGAGGCGGATGCTTGTGCTGGTTGGAGTTCTGATTGCAGTTGGGTTTGGGAAGGCCGTCGGTTTCGCGAACATCTTCCATCTGATTGGTCGCGGAAACGTCTATGGATCCGTACGAAGACGGCGGTGGTTGCGGAATCAAACTGCTTGATGGCGTAACAGTGCCACAGCTGCTGGGAGAATCGACGAAAATACGGATGTGAGGGCGGGTGACGCCTTGGACGATGCTTTTACCGATGTATGCCGCGCGTTTTTGCGTGTGCCCGAGGTTGTTAAAGCGTGCAACGCCGTCGGGAAGCAGGCACAGGTTTCCCGTCAAAAACCCAAAACTGACTTTCCCCGTTTCTTCCCATCTAGCATTGCGATCCTCCATGGGAATGATCTGCTCCTGATGGTAATACGCGAACGGCCGGCGTACAGCCTGCAGCGGCGCCCATAGCATGAACCCCAGCAGCGCGAACGGCGTGGAGATTACGAACAGGATGAAGAAGAGGACGGAGCCGAAGACGACCTGAAGCGGGTGGAGGTAGCACTCCATCTCGCGCCGCCACATGCGCTCCAGACTGGTGGAGATGCAGACGGCGAGGAGACGGTCCAGGAACCAGAAACAAGGGAAGATCAGACCCCATCCTACGGCATGGAGGCCTTCCAGGAAGAAATTGGGGAAAGGAGACTCTCTTAAAGACATGCCTCAACGCCGCACGCCAGCGAAAGACGCCTTCGCATCTCAGATCCTCCACACAACCGTTGGAACTCTGAAAATGACAAACACGGGGAAAAAACTTGTTAGTAAAGCCGCAAGGCAGGGCTGCACGATTAATCCGAATTAAATCGCAATCACGATTAGGCAAAAGCTGCGATTGTCATGCGTATCTCGTCAGTGAAGCACAGTTCTGTGATCAGTAGTAAATCTCCATCCGAAGGCCAGAGGGCGCTCTCACGCAACTCTAAATACGCCCCGCAGAAGAAAGGTAATGCACGTCGTTCCAGGAAAAAGAAGATTGAACTGCTTTCATTGGGCGAATTCCAAACGGAAGTAAGCATACCTATGCCCTATTCCGTTCGAAGGGCAGAGCCCTTGAAGTGTGTTCTTTGAAGGGTGTAGGGCATTACTGTCTCGTATAAGCGTTTGGAACTCTCTTGGCAAAGGGAATGACTGACCAAATGTTACCTTGACAACGCTGCGCATGCGTGTTCTTAATATTATTTTATTTAAATACTGTCTAATTTTGTCTTATTTACCATTAAACTATTTCAAACTAAACTTGCTTACACTACCGTCTTAAATCATATGTGACCGTGGACCACAAAACCAGTCATAAAGGTACATTTTTCGAAATTGAGATTTATATAATCTCCATTGATGTATGGTTTGTTAGGATAGGACAATATTTGGCTGAGATACAACTATTTGAAAATCTGGAATCTGAGGGTGCAAAAAAAAATCAAAATATTGAGAAAATCGCCTTTAAAGTTGTCCAAATGAAGTTCTTAGCAATGCATATTACTAATCAAAAATTATGTTTTGATATAATTACGGTAGGAAATTTACAAAATATCTTCATGGAAAATGATCTTTACTTAATATCCTAATGATTTTTGGCATAAAAGAAAAATTGATAATTTTGACCCATACAATGTATTGTTGGCTATTGCTACAAATATACCCCAGCGACTTAAGACTGCTTTTGTGCTGCAGGGTCACATATGTGGTTTATCCAAGTTCTTCTTATTATAATTCTAATTATAATCTTATTATAATTAGTTTGGAATAAAAACGTTATGAAATGTGGTATTTTGTGGGACAAGAGGTTCATAAATGCTTCTCATGTTCGGAAAGATGTTTGACGCACGTTGCTTTTTCAAATGCACGTTATAAACGACTCAAACTCGCCGGGTAAAAGCTCGATGGTTTCAGATGGAGCAGCATTTACTACACAGAGCCGTAGTTCTTTGACAAGCTACACAAACTGCTTTCATAATCGCAGAACAATTTCATCGATTTCATAATCACGCGATTAATTATGAACGCGGTTTTGCGTAGCTTGAACTACGGCTTCATTGTTAGTTCATTGTTAATCAACTACTCAGTGGGTCATCTGAACCAGGGTTATTATTGTTAACTAACACTAAAACCATTAAAATGAAAACATTGTTACTTAAAATTTGTTAAATGTTTAAGTGAAATAAAATACTTAAATTCAGCTAGTTGCCAAGTAAACATTTCACGATTTAGTTTAGTTACTAAAATGAGAAGAAAAAAATCGGAACTAGAATTTTACTCAAATTAAAAATTTTACTAAAACTAAATATAAAATAAAAATGAGCAAAAAAAGTATATAGACATTTTTTAAATAATAATAAACAATTTCTGAGTTTGCAGCGTTAGGAAAGTGAAAAGCTATAAATTTACCTAAAAATAAATACATAAACAAATACGGTTCATTACTTAAAACAAAATATTTAAAAATGTCAACTGGTTGCAGAGTAAACATTTCTCATTTTCTTTTAGTTTACCTTGAATTACTAAAATTACTAAAACTAAAATAAAAATAATTAAAAACTAAATAGAAATTTTTTAAATGAATACATTAATTAAAAAAAAAAACTATTCGTGTTAGTAAAGTGAAAGACTATATATTTATATCAACTAGTCAGTGAGTTGTATGAAAGGGGGTTATTATCGTTAACTAAACTTAAAACCGTAAAAACATTTTTGTTACTTGAAATAAAATAAAAGTTAACTAAAATATAAAATAAGATATAAAAACTTGTTTTATTTCAGCTAGTTGTCAAAGAGATTTCTCTTTTTTCTTTAGTTCAACTTAAACTCAAGTTTAAATAACTAAAACTGAAATAAAAACAATAATGTACAGACATAAATAAAAGACACAAACAAAAGTGCAAAAACATAAAAGGGTCAAAGACGTTAAGATGTCCGCATCAAAAGAAATGTACAAAAGTGATTTTATGTCAATAGAAAGCACATTAAATAAAAATTAAAATAACAACTAATTAGTATTTGGGGTGAAAGTAATTAGTCTGTTAATATGTTATAAATTTATTTTTGTTGTAAATATGCCTGACAAGAATGTTACACTGAATGACATGAACACCATTTTAGTGGGTCTCTTCTGTAAATCAGGGGAAAATTTATGATATGTATTTTTTGCTCAGAAAAACAAAAACAAAATTGCAATTAAATTAAACAATAAAAAAAATACAAACTGATTTATATTATTTATAAAATCTATAATAGTAAATTAAACTAAAACAACACTAGTCTGAACAACTGAATGACTAGTCTGTCTTAACGAAAGCTGTGAAAAAAGAGCTGCGTCTCTTAATTCATCCCCTTTAAAACACTAAAGTGACAATAAAAATGTGAAAAACAATCTATATCTACCTCTACATGCAACTAGTCAGCTGGTGATAGTGAGCCGTCGACTATCCCTGCTCCTTTCATTTCATTTCAATGCACTTGTTCAGTGAATGGCTTTGACAAACACAGTGACGCCGCAGCCTGCTGAACAGGAGAAACCTGTTTTCTTAACCTTTGGTTGGAATTTATTTCCATGCATCCACTGATGTGCATTAAAGCCCGTTTCACTTCTCACCTGGTGGTTTTCATGTTCACATTCAACAAAACTCACCACAGAGACACTAAATACAGAACCTGACAGCTACTGCGGTCACGTTTATCGCACTACATATTCTTGACATGAAATAACATTTCTACCTGTTTTCTAAATGCACATTACTGATCTTATTGTAATGGATTCATCCATGCATAAGTTTTATTTTTTTAATGTTTTGGCCTTCTAATCTTTAATCAATACGTCTGAAATGATGAATTACAAAATGTTGGTCATAAATTGTACATTTAAATTTATGCATTTAGCAGATGCTTTTATGTAAACGACTAGCATTGCATTAAAGGAATACATTTTCTCAATACATATACATTCCATAGGAATCAAATCCATGATACTTATGTGTAAACGACTTTAAAGGAATACATTTTCTCAATACATATACATTCCATAGGAATCAAATCCATGATACTTATGATACTTAT